GAAGTTACGGAAAATCAATTAACAAACGGAGACGTAACAGTACGTTTTAAACCAATGTATTATTCTACTTTTATTAAATGTAATATGATATCGTGATAACAAAAGCGGCTTTACTACTTACATGTTTTGCAGATGGCGCTTCCGCTTTTGTTTTTGTTGTTATTGAATGAAGTGTCTGTCTCCGATTTTAGGTCAGAAAAATGTGCTGTGCTGGTCATAGGGTAGTTTGGATATGATAGCGATTGGTAATGTTAGGGAGTTGTGGACTGTGATGTTAGCTTTAGTAAAAAAATGCCAGTTTCAGCATTTGAAGCGAAGAAAGTTTTGTAGTTTTACAGTAAACCTATTCGCAACAACTTTAAAAAGCTCTAAATTTGACAATACTATGAAGTTGATGAAGATTGACGACTTGTGTTACTGTTGCAACTTTCTCAGTTTCTGTTTCAAAGTTTCATTTCCAGTTAAGAGTTCAGTGGGAGAGATTAGACATACTGCCACATAGTCAGTTTTAGTTTTTACGTAAGTTCCAAATCGAGTCTTGATTAAACTTTTCACTTGTTTCATATAGTAGTAAGAGTTAGAATTTAAGATTTAAATTCTAAGTTCGTCTAATTCCATTCTGTTTACCACTGTTACTGAGTGTTACTTATTAAGTTATATTTTAACTTATTATAGTTATACTGTAGCAGTGGTCATCCTACGTGAACCAAAACAACAATGAAATTTCCAGTTTAGACATTCTTCAAAAAATTATATTTATATTGTATAGTGTCACTAATTAGTCTATAACAGTACCATTTTCTCTAAGTGTAAATGTGTAACACTGTGATATGTAACAATTCCAGGTTCATTGAAAGTTGCACCCATAACAAAAAGAAGTTTCTACATCAGTTATTAATGTTATGATTCTACACTAATGCTAGCTAGTCCAGTTGAGGTTGAAATTTAATTCTAAACTTAAAACCTATAAAAACAAAATAAATAAATGGTGAACTTCTTTATTATAATTAAATGATACTACACATACACACACACTTAGTGTATTACAATAATAATAGAGAGTTATGACTATTAAGAAGTGTTTACACGTTTATTATAAGTAAACTTAAAGTTTATGAAACATCATTTTGTTCCATTTCAACAGCTTAGTCACTTTTGTTAAATAGTGAAAATACATAAATTTTCAAAAGTGTTGTTTTTAAACATTATTATGCATGAATATATATACAGAAAGCTAACTTTTTTTAAATATATTCTTCATAAATACATTTTTGTAGCTATTGGATATTAAACATCAGTGATGTGTTCTTTTGCTAAATAATGTTTAAAGAATGAACATGTAAATACAAAATATTTCTGAGACCTGCTTAGAATCTTTAGCACAATTTGTTTTTGCTTTGAAACTTTGATGTCTAGAGTTTGTAATAAACTATTAAGCAAAATGTGCAAACAAGTTTTTGGTTGAATTTTCAATTATGTTCTAAAATTATTCAACTTAATTGTATGTTTAAGATATTTTAATGTAAAATTGTTTTTAAAGTTTCATAAGTCTAAAATTGAGATATAATGAGTTAGTAATTCTACGTAGGACTGTGTAGTATGTTTTTATAGAGTTACATATAAAACTTCTTATAAAAATGTATTACACAGCCCTGTGTAGAACTGCTAATTAACAAATGTAAAGCTCCTTACCACTGTTGTCAAATCTGGTTTTTCAGCAGAACTTGGAAAAGTTAGTAATGGGAAATGTTCAGGAGTTGTGGGTATCTTCTGTTTTGGTCTAAATAGAGCTTACAAACTTACCTCATCCTATTTAGCCCTTCACAAAGAAATTACAAAACATTCTCTTTCAAAATTACTACCCTATGCATTTCTTGGATAAGATAACTTCCTCATTCCTAACTAATTTGTTTTGGTCTATTTTTAACAGGTATTTTTAATAATAATAAAACAAATTGTGGAGTGCATTTTAGTCTTCAGTTTTTCCATTTTGACTGAACTGTGGCTTTTGTCTCATGAACTGGCACCTCATTGCTTTTTGATGTTTGGAGTTCCTGTTTTCTAATTGTTTAGGATGTACCATTAAAGTAATCACACTGTAATCCAGTTGCTTATGCAAAAGGATTATGAAACTGATTGTGCTTTCAGAGCTTCTGTGATAATTTGTTGCTGATATGTGAATGAACTAGTATTGAGGCTCTTGCAGCATTTTTTTTCTTAAAATTTACTTTTGGATGTCGTATGAAAAATTTTCATTGCTTTTTGTTTATATCAAGCTTGGTTTCAGTTTAAAAAATGGGGCTAGCTTTGAAGTAACTTTGTGATATAAACAGTACAGAGGTCTGGCAACACTGCTCCTCACCCACCAAAATCATCAACCAAAGCAGCAAAAGGTTAAAAATAAAGGGAACCATAAATATTCATATACCTATTCAATAAACCAACAAAGTAGTTTATTCTTACAGCCATACCAAGTCATTATATCAGTCAAACTATTCCAAAAACTTGTAATATTGAAAAATAAGTGTGTCAAAGAACAGATCTGGATATGTTTTATAAGTGTAAACTTATTATCCTTAATGTTCAAGTTTGTATTTCCAATTTTTTTCTTCCAACACGCAAAAAGGTTTCCCATAATAAAGACAGTCATAACCCCAAACACTTTCAAACACTGGAATCAAGTCTTATATAATTCAGTGGCTCTCAAACTTTCTTCTCTATGGATCACCTGAATTTTTGTTTTTGGTAGACCACAATGGGATCTGTACCATATGCTATCATTTCCTTTCTGTAATTATACAACCTTTCCACAGATTGAGAACTGCTGCTCTAATTAATTCTTTTACACTTCAGAGAAATACATCCAGAACTGTAAGTTTCTTCCCATGCACATATTATTCTAGTGATCCATCTCTGCTCTGTTTAGAACATGAAGTAAGAGGACCAAAATTGTGCTTTGTACTTCAAATGAGGCTTCATATTTTGTAAAATACGACACTAACCACCTTGTTCATAAGTTCTTATAAATACTGTAGAGCCAAAAAATGTATTTGCTTTTCTCACCTCAGCTAAATGCTCAGCAGAGAGCTTCAAGGTTTATTTACAGTCACACCTAAATTTTTCTCTTTGCCCACAACATTAATGCTCCTCACACTCAAGAAATATTTTTCAAAGATCTTATCAATGGAACCAAAAGCTTGATTTTTTTTTCTCACCATAGCTAAACACTCAGCAAAGAACTTAAGTTTTATCAACATATATATATATATATACCTAAATTCTTCTCTTTGTTCAAAATAATATTGCACTTCTCAATCAAGAAGTCTTTTTTTTTTAACACCAAAAATCACAACTTTACATTGGATATTAAAACTCATTTTCCCTATTGGTGGATAAACTCCTCAAACCAACAAAGCACTGCTCACTATGTTGTTAGTAGTACAGCTAATACTATTTTAGTGTATATTTAGAGTTATTCATTACAAGTCAAAAGAGGTAATTATCTCTCTGTACAAATCACTAATTAGACCTATTAGAATACTGCGTACAGTTTTGATCTCCTTATTTGAGAAAAGATCTTGACTTATTGGAAAGGGTACAGAGGAGGGCCACTAGAACAATTCCTGTTTTCTCTTGGCAAAAGAAGGGTAAGTGGGGATCTTATTGAAGTTTATAAAAATTATTCTGAAGAAAATGGGATGAGAAGACACAAGTTTAAGAGTTGGAAAAGGCTGACTAGACTCTAGTAAAGATATTTTTTATAAAAGGATTATTAGTTTATGGAATGAGTTGCCTTTGGTGGATGGTGGAATTTTATGAGAATTTAAAAGGATAATGAATGGTATTCTGAAAAATTTAATTGTTTTTTAATTTTTTCAAAGGTCAGTGTGAAGGACCAAATGGTCCTTGTTATCATAGTTTATGTTGTATTTTGAACATAGTATTCCTTCTCATATAATTTTTCTATATGAATAAAAAATGCTCTATTAAACAACAAGAGTCATGTAAAATAATTGATTAATCAAAATTATAATTAAGTTGATTACTATATCATGGAAATGAATAACTATTCGAAATTAGTGATTATAATTATTACTGTCTTCAATTAATCCAAATATCTAAGTAATTGAGGTATTGCTATTATGGTTTCTCATTGTAATTTTAGATTAATTTATATTAATCATTATTCTATAGAGCTGTGGAGAACCATGGTATGACAACATGTTTACTGCTAATGTTTTACAAACATGATCTGCTAGCATGCATCAGGTGGTTGGTTCCCATCTGCCTACTTCTTCTCTAGTTCAGGTCCATCATAATTCAATTTCATTGCCTTAATTGGAGCCTGCCTTGCCTGTGGATGGTTTTGGCCAGCTGTTCCATCTCCACCCTTTGATTCTGGCTCTACTCATTCTGATTAGGAACAGTTACCTCCTTTTCTGTTTTTCACACTCATAAGCCAAGTATTCAAGTTTCTATATCTTTTGCCTGTATATCATAATAAATCTTGGGTTGCTTTACTTTGTTAGCTTTTTTTTGCCCCACATCCACATTGGTCATTATCTTCTTTGTCCTCCTCATATTCATGATTCCTTTACTATATTCTAAGGTCATGACTTTTCTGTATTTTACTCTGTCACTTGTGTTCCTTCTATCTACTTGGGGTGCTCCTCTTTCTTTCTTCCAATCTGCTCATCTTTGTCTTATTTCTACTCCTTTGCTATATCTCCACCCTTCATATTCTCACTGTGGCTTTTCATTGTGACCCAGATTATTTTGATGTGGCCACCCATTCTTCTTTGTTTTTCCATTTAGCTTCTTCTTGTTCCTCTATTGCCCATGTTTTGTCTTGGTTTCTCTGTTTTTGGGGTTTCCTCAGTTTGAATGCTCTTCTTTCAGGTGTCTACCTCCATTCCTCTTCTCTCCTTGACCCAAGTCTTTCTTCTTTTCTCATTCTACTAATTTTTGGGGATGTTCTCAATTCCTTGTCTTCTCATATTGGGGCTGCTCACTAACAGTTTTCCTTTAATTTTCAGGTTTACCAAATCACTGGACCATAGATAAATTTTATATTTGAGAACTTTAATGGACTGCAACTGCCTTTTGAAAATAAAGGAGAGAAGCCAAAATGATGTCTCATTTTCTTTCAACAGCCATTTGCAACCCATTGAAGTTCTCAAACTTACTCTGCCTAAAGTTCTACTGAAACAACATCACAAATACATCTGTTGGCTAGCCAACCTTGGGAGTTCTGTGGGACAACCCTTACTCTTGTTCCTCATCTTATCACTCCTACTCACTGTTTCCCCTCCCACTGGGTGGGCCATTGAGACACTCAATGGTAACTCTTCCTTGGAGCCGATTCTTGATCGTAGAACCTTTGATGCCCTCCTGTTCACCCGTGCACATCTATAGTCTACTTTTACTGGAAACTGTTTTCTCCTAATGCTTGCTTCTGGTCCCTTTTCTTTGGATGTTCAGATATCACCTTATTCCCTATATCATAAGGACTTATTGCT